GCACCCTTCCCTGCCATAAAAAAATTATAAAGCTTGCAGAGGTCTAGGGAAGATGCTCACAGCTGCTCTGCCAGATGTGCACAGCTGGACAAATAGAGCCAGCCGTGCCCAGGAACTCCGCTGCCGGGTCCCCCCCCAGCCCCTCCCCCTCGCATCCGCACCCACAGGCAATTCCCCAGGCTGGGCATCTCCCACCCACGTCCCTCCTCCGCCTTCTACTCACTTTTCAAGCAAGAAAAGCCACCCAGAGCGAGACCGCGGAGCCCCTGTCCCCATTTCTTCCGCCACCCCACCAGCCGAGCCCCCCAGCCCACCCCAGCCCCAAGCAGGGAACCCGCAGCCATGGTGGGGTGCACAACACCCCCAGCCCCGTCATGGGCGGGTGGGTGCTTCACAGGAGGGAGATGTCCCTGCTCCTGGTGCCAGTGAGGCATTGCTGCTCTCAGCCTGGGAGTGCAGAGAAATGGAGGGCTGGGGTGGAGCGGGCACATCACCAAGGGCAGAAGAAGGGCTGGAAGAAGGTGCTGAGGGCACCTGGATCAACAGGTCATCAGGAGCCCCTGTACATCCACATGCAGCTTCCGAGGGTACCCGTGTCAGGGAATAAAAGGCAGGCCAAGAGGAGATCCAGCCCGCAGCCGGGCTAAAGCAAGGCTCCAAGTCACCAAGGAGAAGCACGGGGTGGCAGAAGGCAGGGTAGGAGCTGGAATATACCCAGATATGGAGGACAAAGGACAGCGAGCAAGTCACGGTGACTCACGGAGGTGCGACAGGACCATACTTGCCACCACCTCCTAAATGGTAGGAAAACGCATATCAAAAGCAAGGACTTTGCCGAGCAGAGCCACCCAGGAGGTGGGAGGAGGGCAAAAGGTGTCCCTTGTCCTCTGTGCCACCTCCAGACACCCAGAGGTGACCCCCTGCGTGAAAGCTTCTCAGTGCCTGGCCACCCGGTCCCCTGGGCAGTCACAGCTGGCAAAAATGCCAATGAGTTTCGCTTCTATTTTATTCTCAATTAAAAAGTCACCCTTGCTTTCTACAAGCCCCAGACGCAGGGAACTTTTCCTCCCGCGCTGGGAAGCCCCGCAGCCGGATCCCAGGGCAGGACACAGATCCGTCGGGAAGTTCCCACAGCCCTGCCGGCATTTCAGCCAGGCGCTGGGGTTAACGTCCCGATCCGCGCTCGGGTCGGCAGAGATGAGCAGCAGCGGTGTGGCGGGGCCCACGCATCTCCTGGGTTCGCCAGGACACCAGCACGCAGCAGGAGCTGTGGGGACGGACACGCAGCCGCCCTGGTGACATGAGCCACCTTCCTGGCACCTATCCAAACACACATAAATAATCGGCCAAACAGGTTTCTCCCAGCATCCTCCCAGGGCAGACAGGATCGTTTGGCTCTGCCACCCTCCCCGCGCAGCTTTAGCCAAGCAAACGCAGGGGTCCAGCGAACGAGGGACTGCATTCCCAGCCACGCTTCAGGCCAGCGGGACTGGGAACCATGCGAGCATGGTGGCTCCAGCCTCCAAACCCCTCTGCGGCTGTGCACCACCTTGTGACGCCATCCGCGTTGCTCTGGGGATGGAGGCACAGCAAGTGCTGGAACCCCTGAGCTCGCACCGCTCTGCTCTGAGGAGGCCGAGCATGGTCCCGGGAGGGCTCCGGCCTCCCCATCCCCATCCCAGAACCTCCCCATCAGCTCTCACCAGCCCCAGGAGATGCTCTGGGTTTCACTGGGAGCCAGGAGGACCACGCTGGGGTGCCCTCAGGGGGGTCAGGTCACACCCCCGGCTGGCAGGCAGCGAGGAGAGGTCTCTGGGAGGGCAGGAGGACATCTACTCCTCCCGAGGCAGGTGAAGGACATGACGAGGGGTTGGCCATGTCCTCCTGGGACCTGCCCCGCGTGGGGACCTCAGAGCCAGACCTCAGGCTGGCTGCTGCGCAGTGTGCCGAGGCTCAGCACCTCCGCTCGGCTCC